GGAGGGTCAGAGGGAGAAGCAGACTCCCCGCCGAGCAGGGAGCCTGATGCGGGACTCGATCCAGGGACTCCAGGATCATGACCTGAGCCGAAGGCAGTCGCTTAACCAACTGAGCCACCCAGGCGCCCCTACTGGTGATTTTTAGTGTAGCATTAGTGGTCTTGGCCAATGGTATTAGGAAAGAAAAAAAAAAAGCTGAAGGGGTATAAGAGAAAAGATAAAACTGTGATATTTTTCCAGATAATATAATCATCAATAAAGAATAACAGAATCAAATCATGAACTTACCAGAACTAATAAGAGAATTGAATAATGTTTCTCATACCAGCACAGCATACACAAATTAGTTTCATTCCTCTACATCAGCAACAATAAACTAGAAAATATAATTTAAGAAAAGATACCATTTAACTTAGCAGCAATACATTTATAGAGAAAAACGTCAAACTGTAATAAAGGACCTAGAGGATGATCTGAACGAGTAAGAAGACATTCCATGCATTTGGGTTGGATAACTTATTATAAAGATATTAACTTTCCCAAATTAATCTATAAATTCAATGCAAACTCAATCAAAATTTTGGTTGAAAATTTTAAGGAACTTGAAAAACTCACTCATAGAGAAAAGTCCGTAAATAGTTAAGTCAACCTTGGAAAAGTAGAATAAAAAGTAGATCTTGCTTTATCAGATATTAGGGCATATCACAAAGAAATAGTAATAAATGCTGGATGTTGTTGATACAGAAATAAATAAGAAATGAGATTGCCATGTGGAGACAATAAAACTGGATCCCTTCCTAACATTATGTACAAAGGGAAACTAAAGATTATTTAAGAGCATAGATATGAAAGATAAAAATATATTTTAATAGAAGTAAATGTAGAATTTTTTTTGAGCAAGGAACTTGGAAGGTGAGAGCTAATCATAGACAGTGGCCATGGGAATGTAAGGGTCAAGATATTTAGGAGGTTACCATTGACAGACTCCTATCTGACTCTGCCTTATACTACTATTTCAAAGTTTGGAGGAGATAGCTGAAGTGGGTATAAATTATAAATGTATATACATATACATTGCTTTATACTACATAGCTATGTGTGGTAGTTTTGTGGCACAGTGTTATAAACTCAGAAGTCCTGAGTTTAAGTCATGGATCTGTCATTGACTAAGTGTGACCATGAGCCTTAGTTTTCCTAGCTCCGTAAAGTAGATGGTCAAAAAAACATAAAACTTGTTATGTACTAAATATAGAGCTCAACCTACCAATACCCTGTTTTTTCATTTGGATATCCTCCTTCCTATTATAGTTGATCTTTGGTGTATGTCTGTATCTGGGCATATTCTTTCTTTCACACATTACAGATAGCTCAACTCAAACAGGACTAAACAAAATAAAACAAAAAGGGGAAAAGGGGAGTTGTTAGCTCTTATAGATTTAAAATCCATGAGTAGATCTAACTTCTAACATGGCTGAATTCAGATGCTCAAGTATGTTTCAGGAAGGTGCCCCACTTCATCCCCTGGCTCTGTTCATCATGGGTTAGGTGTATTGTTCCCAGGAGTTTCAGGCTTGTATTTTCACAGTTCCAAGATGGAAAGAGCGTCTTTTGCTGCAAACTCTCCCAAAAGTTCTGGGATATATGCTGTTTGGGTTAACTTGATTCCCTCTTTCATCCTTGAGCCAATCACTGTAGCCAAGCTGGTGGTACTTATGTTGATCAGCTGATGCCAATGTCATGTGATCATTCTGGGATGGGGTCAGGTGCACCCAAACTATGAATACTAGAAGTGGGGTGGGGGTAGTTTCCCAAGGAAATGCAGGGCTCTATAATAAAAAAGGAGAGGAGGAGGTGTGTGGGAGAAAAAAAGAATATTTATTGTATCTTTTCCCTTTCCTTTGTCTTTATTGTTCATTTTGACAAGAAAACATATATGAAAATGTTGCAGGAGCCAAAGACCTGGTGATTAGCCCTTGGGGAGGACCCTGACTTGAATTCAAGGATAACTGGGTATATGAGAGACAGGGTTGTGTAGGAAGAGTAACTTAGAAATTGGTAAAGCCCTTTCCTCACCTCCTCATCCTACAGAGAGCTTTTTTTTATTCAGATATAGTTCATACCATATAAATCCCTCATTTACAATGCACAATTCAACAGCTTTTTGTAATGCACAGAGTTGTATGACCCTCATCACCATCAATTTTACAACACTTCAGCATCCCCAGGAGAAACTCTGTATCCTTTCACTATCATTCCCTTTCCCCTTAATTCCCCCATCCTCACCAGCCTTAGGCAACCACTACCTACTTTTTGTCTCTGTAGATTTTCCTATTCTGGACATTCAACATAAATGGAATAATATGATATGTGATCTTTTGTGACTGGCATCTTTCACTTAGCATAACGTTTTCAAGGTTCATCTATGTTGCATGTATTAGTACTTCATTCCTTTTTTTTATGGTTGAATAATATTCCACTGTATAGATATACCACCTTTAGTTTATCCCATTCATTAGTTGATGCATGTTTGGGTTGTTTCCAGCTTGGGGTATTGTTTTTGGGTGGAAATATATTTTCATTTCCCTTGGGTATATTTTTAAGGGTGGAATTGCTGGGTCAAATGGTAACACTGTTTAACTTTTTGAGGAACTGCCAGGTTGTTTTCCTAAGTGGCTATATCACTTTACATTCACAACAAGAGTGTAAGAAAGTTCCAATTTCACCAAATCCTAGCCTGATCTTTTTATTATCTGTATTTTAAAAAATTACAACCATCCTAGTAGATGTTAGGTGGTATCTCATGGTTTTGATTTGTATTTCCCTAATGAATAATGATGCTGAACATCTTTTCATGTAATTGTTGGCCATTTGTATATCTTCACTGGAAGAAGGTCTGTTCATATATATTTATGCAAATGTTTTTTCCCATTCTGTGGGTTGTCTTTCCACTTTCTTTCCACAGTGTCCTTTGAAGCACAAATTTAAAATTTTTGAAGTCCAATTTATCCATTTTTTCTTTTTGCCACTTGATTTTTAACATGCCACGCTGTTTTTTGTAATTTTTTTTATTTGAATATAGTTGACTTCAAGTGTACAACTTATTTTTAATTTTTATTTGTTTATTTACCACCCTTGCTGCTTTTAAACCTGATGGTTTATACAAAAGCTTATCTCTGTTTCTTTTACACATAAGATCTCACAAGTACTTTAGGTGAGTCCTAAGAATATTAAAAAAAAAAAAAAAGACTCATAAGCATAGGACATCAGAGCCTGAATAAGGTGAGAAGGATATCCACTCAGGGGTAGCCGGATGTGAAGGGTCAGACCCACAGAAGCTAGGAGGACATCCATGTATGGCAGTGGTTCAGAACTGGGTGCTGGAACCCAAGAAAGGAAGGCATCTACACACGGGAGCAGCCTAGTGTGGGGAGTCAGAACCTGAATGTGCAATGAAAGGCATTCATGCCATGGGGCAGCTTAGTGCACTTGAGAGCCCAAATGGTGTGAGAGGGCTTTCACACTGAGAGAGGAATAGCCTGGAATAGAGCATTGGAATACAAGTGAGATGAGCAGGGTATGTGCATGGGGGAGAGGATGGGTGATGGGAGATGGATTATATTCAGGAATACTGATCAAATACTAAGGATAATAAGGGCCAGGTTTCTCACTATTGGAGAAGGGATTAAAAGTATAGAAGGGAAGAAAACTGGAATGAAATTTGTGGTGGATTAGGATTGGAGGTATTGGTATAAACTCGTAGTTTTTGTTATATAGAGATCAATATACAAATGTAGATATAAATGCATGTACATGCATTTACATATGTGTATTCACATATACATGTCCATCCATGCATAACACATATGTACACACATGTATTGATTAGATATGCCTCCTGAAAAAACTTGGGAGTAGTGGCATCTCCTACAGCAATGAGCAAAACCAGTCCCCAGATATTGGTCTCCAAATACCATTTTGAGAGCAGGCGAAGCAGCTTGCATAAGGATAAAGGCAGGCATTGACTATTGGGAAATGTTCATTCCAGGAAGGCAGAGTGGAGCTGCTCACAGTGGGAGCACAGGGTCCTATAGTGGTTCGGGGACCAAACTTTGGATCCACACCAAGAGTGAGGTGGATCCTAGCTTTGGATTTATCAGTTAAATGATGTATTGATAACAGGTCCTTTAACATTTCCAAGCCTCAGCTCTTCATTTGTAAATAGGACAGTATAAGGATAGAAAGGGAAAAAATAAGTCAAATGCCTGGCGTGTTGTGAACACTCAGTATTCTTAATGAGAACACCAGGAAGGCATGTTGCAGCAGTGAAAATAAGTCACAGAAATAAACAAAAACAAAAAGACTCTGAAAACTTTCCAAAATCTTCATCTAAGCTCAGGAGGCCAGGAACTTGGTGGAGTTCCAGGGGCTTTTCAGTCCCATATACCAGCTATGAAATTAATATGTAATGCTTTCATGTTAATTAAGCCTATTAATATAAAATTTGTGGTAAAAGATCTGACCTGTGTGTTGGATAGTCCCAAGAGCAGGGTGTCAGATGGGGTGGGATAAAAAGAATTATTCCAATTTGACTTTATTCCACAGAACTAATGAGTTAGGGAAATTCCTATGAAAATGGGCTGCCCCTGGGATCTCACTACTGTTCAAAACAGAGTCTTCTCTGTTTCTTCCCTCCCTCAATAGTGCTTACATCCAATAAGTCACCAAGCCTTTCTCCTCAGTTTCCCCACAGTTGTTCTGCTTCTCTTCACCTCCACTCTGGTTCCAGACTTCCCTTCTGACTTGGTTATTTTGTGCAAAACTTTTTTTTTTTTTTTTAAGATTTTATTTATTTGACAGAGAGACAGCGAGAGAGGGAACACAAGCAGGGGGGAGCAGGAGAGGGAGAAGCAGCCTTCCCTCGGAGCAGGGAGCCCTATGCGGGGCTTGATCCCAGGGTCCTGGGATCATGACCTGAGCCAAACGCAGAGGCTTAACCGACTGAGCCAGCCAGGCACCCCTGTGCAAAACTTTCTAACTGGTCTTTCTGCCCCTAGTTATTATGTTTCCAAATCATTCTCCATCCTGCCATGTAGTGATTTCCATTTTCCCAAGGATTAATCTGATTGCATCATGTCCACACTGAAACTCCTCAAATCCTATTTATTCCATGATAAATTTTGCCCTCCTTAGATGGCATTCAAGGACCTCCTGCCACGCAAACAGCTACAACCAATAGAGGCCACTCACTCCCTGTCCTTTGGGACCATTTTTCACATTTCTTTTTATTTATTTATTT